TCTTCGGATGAACATAACTCCTTCTGATGTTAGGATTTCGTTTAAGTTCCAACGGAAGCAATTTCCCCTTTATGGTTTCCTATGCCATGACCATAAACAAGAGTCAGGGTCAGTCTTTATCACATGTTGAACTGTTCTTGAAAAAACCTGTTTTTAGTCATGGCCAATTATACGTCGCTGTTTCACATGTTACTAATAAGAGGGGTTGAAAATATTAGTTTGTGGGGACGATGAGTTACCCAGTAATCAAACTAATAACGTTGTATATAAGGAGGTTTTTAATAATGTATAACTTTTTAACAATGACGATTTTATGTTTACTTTATGAATGTCATACGAATTATAATAACTTATTAATTAATTACATTTTAATTTTTTAAAATTTTCCAAAACATGTACTAGCCCGTGCATCGCACGGGTTACATACTAGTTTTAATTATTCTCCTATTGTGTTATTTGGATTTAATTATCTTCCTTTAGCTTGTAGGTAAAGAAAATATATTAGATTCATTAAGAGATTTTACATATATTTACTTTCTTTATTTCGATATTCTCTTACTATATGTTATGTTATTTATTTTTAATTGTCTTCTTTTACTTGTAGGAAAAGGAAGATATTATTGTGAGCTTTGAGAGTTGAAATCTTGTGGAAGAAAGCTGGAAAATCGAGCAAGAAAAGGAAAGAAATCGGGCGAGCAGATATTTCCGAAGGTTCGCACGGAAACAAGGAAAGAAATTTGCACTGTTGAAGAGAGATGCGAGATTAAATGTGGAAGATTTGGGCAAGATATTCGAGCATCATGATCTACAAGGCATGGAGATTTAGTTTCCAAAGTTGAACGAGAAGATCAAGTAAATTTGGAAACTCCAGATTTCTGATGCACCTTCATACCGTATATAGTTGTATATATATTAGTTTCACGAGCTCCGAGTCCAGGAGAGCCATTCCATTATTCTTTAAGTGAGTTTAGAGTTATATTCTTTGAGAGCTCGTGAGTTTTTTTATTATATTTTATAGAGTGATCAGATTTCAGCATGAAGGTTCATCGCTGGTAATTCGAGCTGTCAGTTTTGTTTCGTTTCTACTTGGTGCTTGGGACGAGCATCTTCATACTGCTTGGAGGGATCCATTCGTGCAGCGTAAGTCCACGTCGTGGCCAGAAAAGTAGTTAGGTAGGTGAAGTACAAAGTAGGTTAGCTTAGAGGGAGTCTATATGTGTAAATTCTATTTGTACTTGTTGGTCAAACAATTGCTTAATGAAAGAGTTCTGAGGGAGAGTGAGACGCTCTCCTGAAAGTTCGTTTTTATTTATTCGCTTCCGCAATTTTACATGAACGTTCATTTTTTTTAGTATAAGCACAAATTTGTGTGCTCCCCTGAAATTTCACTTCTGTCTAATTACCAACCATACATCTTAATAGAATTTACAGGCGAAAAACAATTGCTAAGGTAGAAGCCATCTTCCTTAACAAACCAAGCACAATTGTTGCAATCTCTAACATGAGCAGTTTCGCAATGAGGAGCAATGTCCACATTGTACACATCATGGCTAGTGTTGAATTTATTCCCGACTACAAAACGACAGTAAAACAATGTTGTTCGCTAGAAATTGAGACCAAACTTCCAGTTAAAATGTTGTCCCGTATTGAGCGTGTGAGTGCCAAGATTGTCTTCCTTGGAAGTGCAAGTAACAAACATTGCCGGGCTTTTAGGCGCAAAGCTGTTGATTATGTGTACGGTGAATTTATCTCCCGGATGGACTTTAATTAATCGTGACGTTATTATGTGCTAATGAAGATGAACGAGTGCTCAGATAAGAAGAAGGTGAAGAGCTAGGGAGAAGGAGATTCCAAGGAGGCCTTTTCTTGTGCTGAAACTCATTTTTACTAGATTTATATAAGTCAAGATTATTGCTTGAAATAATAGTGATGTAATATTGGTGATGACCTTATTTATAGTGTATGCCTTTCTGAAAAGTTTGTGTTGGTTCTAATTACAGCAACCCAATTACAAAAGATGGTTACAATTTTATTTTTTTTTTGTCTATAGCTATATAATCCAAAAGCTATATTCATGAGCAATAATAATAATATCCATGTGATTTTTGAAGTCTTATGTAATAATGTTTCTTATGAGCAATTGTTTAGGAACTTTTGTTATTGGTACACAAAATATGATTCCCAAGAGATTACATTGATTAGTCATAACTCATAAACTAGTGCGATGCAATAATGATAAATAGTATAGATTAAAACAAGGAAAAATTGCACCAATAGTTAACTAACTATTGGTGAATTATACTTTCGTCCTTTAATTAAAAGAAATTATATTTGGTACACAATAATTTTTCGCCACGTGGTTTACAAACTAAATAAAAAAAATATTTTTCCTTATCCATGTGTCATTACATACGGATTTAAGAATTAAAAAAAAAATAAAAAAACTAAAAAATAAATAATGTCTGATATTGAGTTAAAAAAAATGCTTCAAACCTTATTTCCTCATAAATCACGATCAACTTTTGAACACCACTCAACCGCGACCTTCTCTCTCTCACTGCAACCACTTCCGACCGAGAACCTCCGGCGAACTTTCCAGACCACCGAACAACATTGCAATTGCAACCTCTGTCCTCTGCATTCCCTTCGACATCACTTACTGCGATCACAACAACTCTCCAACCCTAGCTTGAGGCGCGCGTTCCATCTCCGACCATTCAAGCCACTCCCGCGGCTCACCTCCGGCATCCACCTCTGATCGTCTCCGGCGTCATTTTCTTATCACAATCCTCCAGCAACATCACAATTCGGGAGTTCGTTGTTCATTCAAAGATCATACACAACCCTAGCTCATGGGACTTGTTCAATTCCGGCCGAAACTCACTCCAGAGGTATCGAAAGCTTCTTCTTATTACAATTGGTTGAGTATTGTGGCGTGAGGTGGCCAACTCCGGGACCTACACGTTCAAATTGTTCAAAAGCTTTCAACCATCCAATCCGCCCACCAAGTGTTCGACAAATTGCACGAACTAGAAATCATGGGCAAAACGACCGGTGCTTCGAAGAAGAAGGGCCCCGCAGCTTCAAAGTCCAAGGCGGCGGCCTCCACGAGCGCCAACCCCGGCCCGGCAACCGCGCCTCAGTCCTTGGTGGAACAACACCACGTTCCCTTTGAGGTCGTGTCCATGGACGAGGTCACGGCTTATCAACGACTCTCTTCCAAGCCTCTTCCCAACCCACGCATCATCGATTGGGATTACTTCAATGACGAGCTCGAGATCGGTAAAGAAATTAGCCGCTACATCAAATTGCTCGACCTCGAGGAATTCGAGGACATGGAAGTATATACTTACCAGGGTTTGACTATCGAGTTTTTCAGCACGGTCGCCAGGCACGAAAATGGGAAATACCTTACTGCTCGGCTTGAGGGCACGGAGTACAAAATAACTGACAAAGTGTTGCGCGACATTTACAAATTCAACCCCTCAATGGAGACACGTCATAGTCCCATGGGATGAAAAGTTGACCCGCATTGGTCGGCCATCTCCCTGTGCGAGAAGTATAAGAAAGCCGGGGCGTCTTCAAGTGCAATCGCGAGTATCGTCTTCAATTTCTGGACAAGAAATTGGATTTCTGCTCCCAGAAATCGATTTCTTCTCTCGAGCATTTAGACGAGTGGGGAAGTGCACTGTTCGAGTATCGTTTTGCAGAACCCGAGCAAGCAAGGATCGAGTTTTCAGCTTGGGCAAGACCGGAGAGACGCTAGCCGAGCACGCAAGCCCGAGATGCCAGATTTTTTATGCTGTCTAGACCTTAGCGGCGCTAAGGCATCTTAGCGCCGCTAGGGTCAGTTGGTTAGCAGCGCTTCATAGCTTAGCGAGTCCAGACAGCTGCAGCTAAGGCGGGTTAGCGGCGCTAAGGACGGTTAGCGCCGCTAAGGTCAGTTGGTTAGCGGCGCTTCATAACTTAGCGGGTACAGACAGCTGCAGCTAAGGCGGGTTAGCAACGCTAAGGAGGGTTAGCGCCGCTAAGGTCTGTTTTCCAGCAAGCACAATTTTTATGGAATTTGAATTGGGAAAGTTATGAGATCGAGCCTAGGGCGTATAGGGGAGTGGCTGGACTTCGTGTTTTTTTATGTTTTTGGGGGGCACAAACATATTTTCTCTTTGTTTTCATCTTGGATTGGATTTTGGAGCATAAAAACTCCTTTTTTATCTTTTCGATTTGGATTTCTCGTTGTTCTCTCGACATTGAATTACGTATTAATCGTAAGTTCTCTTTTTATTTTCATTGATGAGTGTTATGGGTTTCTTTGATGATTGATCACCATCCTAATTTCGGTGTTCGAATCTTTCGATTCTACTTCGGTAAAAATATTTACAACAACACTTCAAATATTAGGTCCAAATGCAAAATAGATGTAACCTCAAGGTCCTCAAAGTACCAAATACATTACAATTTTCAATAGCATTACACAACAAAAGCCCCAAAAAATGACACTAATTCGACTCGGGAATACTATGAGCATAAATTGCTAATGCCATTTTCTTTCTATATGAACTCTTGTCCGGCTCTCGAGGAATTTCCTCGCCAAGCATACGTTCAACGTACATCCAAGCATATACTCCACAACTATGGGTATCATCTTGAACAAATTGAACTTCACTCGACATTCTCTTTATCGATAAGGCATCTAACTTGGGCGGAATTTTCCTAGCAGCAAAGTAACCGGACCGGTGAAGTAGTGTGAGAAGCAGTCGTCGGAGAGGGGTCAACATAAGATCTCAGTCATTACACGCCTTCGGCGATGAAAGGTGGCTAAAAGAGTCGTAAAGCTCGACCTCCCAATCCAATAACCGTACCCGACACACCACCCAATGCTCGATAACATTACATACCAAAATGACCTGTCATCTGAAGTTACAAACCAACAATGATATAAATGTTACAAGTACATTTAATTCTAATAATTTACCAATAATTAAGAACAAAATAAAAACTTACATCGGGATTTGTATGCCAAGGAGATCCACAACGAATAGCAGTACCACGAACATAACTAACCAGACCCGGAGGAACATTCCAACTCCCATAATTTGCGATGTTTGATAGCTCTGCGTACATTGAGGATCGTCGGGATGAAGCACTTTCCGTTGATTCGATAACAAGCCCTGAAAATAAGTAGTAAGAAAAATCATTCAACATAATATAAATTAATTAAGCAAAAATATAATTAGTGGAAAGAGCAATTACAAATAGAGTAGAATCCTGAATGTTAATTGTTGAAACAGATACTCCCGACTTCAATTTGACCCCATTTTTGTACAACCTCCGAGAAAGCACGTCCAAAAAAACATCGAATGCTACAAAAATTATAATTATATTAATTTTTTGAACTACGACATTCGAGTACGGATATTGAATTCTTTAGAACCCTTACTTACCTCGGTAGAAAGCATATTCCTGACACCCTCAATTATTTTAAAATAATCTGGCCCTTGGTATTGTGCCCCAACTTTTAACCTAACAAGAAAATAAATAAAAAGAGAAAATCGCACTTAAAAAATTCACATGTATGCTATAGATTTAAATTAAAAATATAACTGTCATGCTACTTACATTGGAGATTTCTTCTTCTTCCAATTTTTGTATTTCACCTTTAATTGCTTCTCAGTTTTCTTCTCCCGGTAGTCAACGAATGGTGAGGAAAGCTTGCTATTTTTGAACTTAACGCGAAGTGTTCGACCTACCACAACACCATCACCATCACCATCCGTGAATCCACCTCCTTTTGTCGGCTTCTGAGTGATAACAGCTACATCCTGTGAGAGGCCAACTTTTGCAATACCCTCATCCTCCTCCACAACATCCTCTCCTGAAACACCATGATCACCGGACTCAGGTACCTGTGTTTTTTAACAATTTGAAAGAATTAAGATTATAGTCGATAGTTTTTTAAAAATTTTAGACAATACAAAATATTACAAACTTTAAAAAAAAAAACAAATCTTTAGGATGTAAAGTTGTAAACCACCATAATTTTTTTGGATAACAAAATAAGGGTGCGTTGCAGATAATACAAACTTACAAAATCAGATTTTTGGTTGGAATGCTCTCTTTCTTGCCTCGATTCTTCTCCTTTCCCCAAATCATCCTTCCCCAAATCATACTTCCCCAAATCATCCTTCACGGTCTCCAAATCCTCAAATCCGAAACGCGGCGCGCTTCGAACGATTAGATAAGCATCTAATAGTTTAATAACCTCCGTAACCGCCGATTCAACAAACCTAGACAACATCCTAGCAAAAGCCTCTTCAATTTTTTTTGATACAATATCTTCGATCTTCGCCTCGTCAACTCCGATAGATGATGCAGATGGTCTGTCAAATGCAACTGGATGTGGTCTTTCCGGCTCAACATCATGCGCTCTTCTTTTGGTGGGCGAAATTTGTTCATCTTTTTCAGAAAATTCCGGATTGTTTGCAGAATGAGTCTTCTTTGAGGGTCGCATTGTCTTCAACCCCCGTCCATGCATTTTGGCCAAAGACAATGGTTGACAGCTGCTCGCCCACTGATCACGATGAATGTATTGAACATTCGAGGATAAATCTCTGTCGATGTCGGCCATATAAGAGGCGTTCTTCTCCTCGGCCGTTAACACCATAGGTGAATATAGAATCTAGCACAAGAAATATAACAAATAATCAATCTAGAAATATACCTAGAAGCCATTGTTCCAAATTAAACATGAAGTTAAACATGCACTTCATAAGAAAGTGGCTTTAAATGAATTCAAGAATTATCTCAGCATTATCGAGTTCATTGGCACCATTGAATGGCACCTTTCCACATGTCCATCAGGCGCCCCTTGGAAGGTTGTCACCCTGCCGTGACATTCCAGAATCTTTTACAATTTCGGGAAACAATTCACAAGCCCAGAACTGTGTGGAAGATATCAAACAAACAAAGTTAATAAAGAAACCGCATTATTAAAATAGTATGAAATAATGAAAATAAAATTAACATTTACCTGAAGTGCCATGACATACCCGCAGATATTGAATTGCACCTCCCCCCCACTAACCGACGGTCTAATCCCATTTTCCAAATAGTGGTGAAGACGCTGAAAAGCGTATGAACCCCAGGGAAATCTCTCGAATTCTGTTGTGTCTTCAACCAGTGTCCACAACCACATTGGAACCGACATCCTGGAGTCCGGAGACAGAATGAAGAAGAAGACTACGAGTATGAAAGCCACTTTAAGAGCATCGTCCTCCTCAAATTCTCGGTCAACAAACTTCGACAACAAATCTCTTTCGAGCACAGTCTTACCGTCGAAATATCGACGGTAAACTCCATTAGCCGGTGGGAGGCTCTTATTCGTATCCGGGTCAAAGTCGCTATTGCCAAACCGTAACCCAGTGATCGCGCAAAACTCTTCCTTTTCGAACTTATGATTGCGACCACCAATCCGATAATAGTGTTCTTTTTCTCGAGGGTTGTCGACCTCAACCTCTCTCCCAAACAGTGACAAAAGTAATTTGCCACTGTTATAAGAATTGTCGTGGAACTTCAAAAAGTGACCGAAACAAGACCGCTCAAACTCCGCTAGACAGTTGGAAGATAGCCTTGTTTGATATGGCGAATGACTAGAGGCTTCGTATGACAGTTTACTTTACCTGTCCAATTACAAGCGTTATTCCACCTCCATTTCCAATTATCCTGTAATGTTCAATATAATAAAGGTTAATACAACAACAAAGCAAATATATAAGTTAAATTGAAATGTATAATCTTATTTGTTAACCAAATAAAGTAAACAAAAAAATGAATATGACAAACTATTGAATTTGGAGCAATAAAAAAGGGAACAAAAAACTAACCGGAGAAGTCATTATGATGGGGCACGGGTTTTTTGGGCGAGCTCTGCAAAGAATATTTCTTGTGTTGATTTTTGTGGCCCTATTATAACCCCGTCGAATTGTTCCTTCTTTAGTACGTCCACAGCTGAACAAAAAAATAAAAAATAAAAATTAAAAATAAAACAATTTGAGCCATCAACCAAAAGTGTAGGCAAACAAAAGGTTTGATGAGGTTGACACAGGCATTTTCACAAACACAAAGCATGCTCTTTAAACATTTTTTTTTTCACTGGATTTAAGCTCAAATCAATCAACATATAATGATCATTTGATAGCTGAAATAAGGTTTAAAAAGATACACATATAACAACAACAATTAACACACTTAAATTCACAATAACTCACAAGACAACATTTCAACATAATGCCTCTTTTCCTCTTTTATTTTCTCATTTCTCATAGCATACATAAGGAGCAATAAGGAGTTCACATTCTCAGCCAACTACAACAAAGCTTACAAAAATCAATATTCAAAATTTCAATAAACTTAATAAATCTAGCATCTCTGAGCATAATGGTTCATCACAACTACAACAAAGCACACATAATCAAGCTTCAAAATTTCAACAAAGAAGCATACATAAGGAGCCATAAGGAGCTCACATTCTCAGCCCAACTACAACAAAGCATACAAAAACCAAGATTCAAAATTTCAACAAACTTAATAAATCTATCATCTCTGAGCATAATGGTTCATCACAACTACAACAAAGCACACACAATCAAGCTTCAAAATTTCAACAAACTTAGTGCATAGAAGGCTTCAAAATTTCAACAAAATTTCAACAAACTTAGTGCATAAAAGCTCAACTACAACAAAGCATACAAAAACCAAGCTTCAAAATTTCAACAAAATTTCAACAAACTTTAACCCTTCAAAAACTGAAACTAAAGCTCAACAACATCACAAGATCCCGGCCA